AGCTGCTGCTGCTGCTGCTGTGTCTTCACCTGCAGCCTCTGGAAGAGCTGCTTCCAGCTGTTGGGGTGCAGCAGCCTCCCTAGAGGAACCCCACGCTGCAGCAGCAGCCACGAGCTGCTCTGGGCTCTTGAGCGAAATTCGCTGCTGCTGCTGCTGCTGCTGCTGCTGTAATGTTCCGTCACGCGGCTGCTGCTGTTGCTGCTGCCACAGGGACTCTGCACCACCCGACTTCTCTGCACTGGGAACTTCTGCTGCATGCAGCGCAGCAGCAGCACTAGAACCCGATGAATCTCTGTGCAGCGAGGCAGCATCTGCTGCAGCTGCAGCTGCTGCTGCTTCCGGGGAGCCCCCTGCTGCTGCAGCAGCAGAAGCAGCTGCTGCTGCTGCAGTGTTTGCGGCTGCAGCTGGCTGGGCCGTCGATTTGGCCGCAGCCCGCGACCCTGGGGCCTCGCACGCAGCAGCAGCAACAGCAGCAGCAGCAACTGACGGCGGCAGCGACAAAGACAGAGCAGCCGCAGCAGCAGCAGAAGCAGCACTCGACAGCAGCGGCGACCCCTGGGGAGGCGGCAGCAGAGACGATCCCGGAGAACACAGCAGCCCTCCTGCTGCTGCTGCTGCTCCTGCTGCAGCAGGAAGCAGCTGCGAGACTGCTGGGGCTGCTGCAGGGCGAACAATAGTGCCTGCAGGGGAATGTGCAGCAGAAAAAGTGCCCAGCTGCTGCTGCAGTGCAGCAGCAGCTGCTGCTGCTACAGGGTGCCCCGCCGAAGCAGCTCGCTGGAGCTGCTGCAGTGCTGCGCTGCTGCTGCTGCCCTCGCTGCTAAGAGCTGCCAGTCGAGCAGCTATCTGCGCGCCGTCCTGCTGCTGTTGCATCTGCTGCAGCTGCTGCTGCAGTTGCTGCTGCCTCTGCTGCAGCACTTGCTGCTGCATTAGCTGCTGCTGCAGCAGCCGCTGCTGCAGCAGCTGCGGGGGAAACTGTGCAGATCCTCCCAAACGTCCCTGTAGCTGCTGCTGCTGCAACTTGCTTTGTAGCTGTTGAAGCTGTTGGAGCTGCTGCAGCTGGTGCAGTTGCTGCGCCTGCTGTTGCTGCTGCTGCGTTTGTTGCTGCTGCGGCTGCTGCTGATTTTGCTGCTGCAGCTGCTGTTGCTGTTGTTGTAGCTGCTGTAATTGCTGCATCTGTTGCTGCTGCTGCACCTTTACTTGCAAATGGTGCAACTGGAACTGCTGGAGCAATTGCTGCTGCCTGGCCTGCAGCAGCTGCTGCACTGATGCAGCGTGAATGCCCGCCGGGAGCTGGCCTTGCTGCTGCTGCTGCTGCTGCTGCTGTTGTATCTGCTGCAACAGCTGGAGCTGCTGCTGAGTGTACTGCTGCTGCGACGGCTGCCCCAACAGCTGCTGCAGTCCCGACGCCAACTGGCTTTGCGTCTGTGTCTGCTGCTGCTGCTGCTGCTGCTGCTGCTGACCTTGAGTTGCTGCTGCCTGTAAGGCAGCAGCACGTTGCTGCAACAACATAAGCTGCTGCTGCTGCGACGCCTGCTGCTGCAGTTGCTGCTGCCGCTGCTGCAAAAGCAGCTGCTGCTGCTGCAACTGTTGACTAACCCCTTGGTTCTTTGTTTGCTGCTGGTTTTGGATGTGTTGCTGCAGCAGTTGCTGCTGCAGCTGGTGCTGCAGTAGCTGCTGCTGCAGCGGGGGGTAAGCAGGAGGTCTTGACGGCGATGGGGCCTGCTGCTGCTGCTGGGCTGCGGAGCTGTTGCTGCTGCTGCTGCTACTGCTGCTGCTGCTGCCTCCTCCAGGGGACAAAGCTGCCGCCGTTGGAGCGGCTGCTGCAAGTATCCCTGTGGCTGAGGCCTGCTGCTGCTCAGATCGGCTACTTTCGCATGTCAAAGACGCGCTGCTGCTGCTGCTGCTGCTGCTGCTGCAGCTGCCAGCTGCTGCAGGTAATGCCTGTGCTGCTGCTGCTGCTGCTGCTGCCGCGCCAGCTCTGCGATGGCCTGCAGTGAGTCCAAGCTGCTGCAGAGCTGCTGTTGCTGCTTGCTGCTGCTGCTGCTGCGTTGCCGCAGCAGCTGCTGCTGCTGCTGCTGAGGGCACTGCATTCTGTTTCAGAGCAGCAGCACTCGCATTGAAGGCGGCCAAATGCGACGCTGTGAGGCCTGCTGGCAGCAAGATATGCTGCTGGTGCTGCTGCCTGTGTTGCTCCGTGGCTGCTGCTGCTGCTGCTCCCGCTGCTGCAGAGCCCTGCACCAGTGGGGACCCCGCAGCAGCAGCACCCGAAGCAGCAGCAGCAGCAGCAGCAGGCAGCAGCGCCCTGCGAGCAGCACGTGCTGCTGTGCGCAGACTAGAACGCGTGAAGCGGGTGCTGGAGCGAATAGCAGCAGCGTTGCTGCTGCTCGTGCTGCTGCTGGCTGCTGCTTCTGAGGCCCCTGCTGCTGCTGCTGCTGCATCGCAAGGCTGCTGCAGCAACCCACCCAGTGCTGCAGCAGGAGCAGAAGCAGAAGAGAAGAGGGCCCCCCTAGTGCGCTGCCTGAGGCCCTTTCTGCTGTTGCTGCGGGTCAAGTGGGCCCTCCCCAAGAGCTGCTCCTGCTGCTGCTGCTGCTGCTGCTGCTGCTGCTGCTGAGCGAGCCCTACTGCGTCGCTGCAAGGCGTGTCCCCGTTCCACGGCAGCAGACACGGATCGCTACCCTCTGCAGACTGCTGCTGCTGCTGCTGCTGCTGCTGCTGCAGCTCCTCTACAGCGTATGGCTGCAGCGGTGGTGACGGTGAAGCCAACTTCGGGTCCAAGCCTGCTGCTGCTGCTGCTGCTGCTGCTGTTCTCGCCGACGCTGCAGGTACGTCAGGGCCGCTGCTGCTCAACTGTGGCTGCGCTGCGCCTCCGGCCTGGGGCGCAGCTGGAGCTGCTGCTGCTGCTGCTGTTCCTGCTGCTGCTGCTGCTTCTTCTGTGTCCCCTGGCCTGCGGCGCTTGTCTCGCAGCCGCCGCAAAGCTGCTTCGTGCTGCTGCTGCAGCGCCTTGTCTCTTTCTTCCCGCTGCTGCTCGCGTTTGCGCAGCATGTCTTGGTAGAGCTGCTGCAGCTGCTGCTGCTGCTGCTGCTTGAAGGCCTCCAGCTCGTGCTGCTGCTCCTCCCTGTCGGCCTCCCGCAGGTCTGCTGCAGCAGCAGCAAGCAGCTCGTAGCGCCGCTGCTGCACTTCCCCCAGCAGCGACAGCAGCAGCTGCCGCTGCTGCAGCTTTGCTGCTAAGTGCCGCCGCAGCCACCAGCTTCTTACGAGTCTCTCTGTTTCGGACTGCAGCACGAAAGTGCCGCTTCCTGCTGCTGCTGCTGCTGCAGCAGCAGCAGCAGCAGCAGGCTTTGCTGCCATGCCGCTCCCCGCTGCATCATCGCCGCAGCTCTCCCTGGGGTCTCCCTCAGCTGCACCTTCGGCGTCCTCTGCTGCTGCTGCTGACACTTCTGCTGCTGCAGCTGCTGCTGCTGCTGCTGCAGCTGCTGCTGCTGCTGGCTCTGCTGCGCCTGCATACGCGGCCTCCTCCGCGCTGCTGCTGCTGCAGCAGCAGCAGCAGCAGCAGGCTTTGCTGCCATGCCGCTCCCCGCTGCATCATCGCCGCAGCTCTCCCTGGGGTCTCCCTCAGCTGCACCTTCGGCGTCCTCTGCTGCTGCTGCTGACACTTCTGCTGCTGCAGCTGCTGCTGCTGCTGCTGCTGTGGGGAGCTGCGAAGGCCTGCGTGGCCTGGACGCGCAGCTGGCGAGCCAGCAGCAGCTGCTGCCGCCACTGCTGCTGCTGCTGCAGCACCAGCCGCCTAATGCGCGGCGCTATGCGGCTGAAGGAGGGGAAGCGGTCTTGAGGCACAAACGGCCAGCGCCGGCAGGCCCGCTTCTTCGAGATCGCCATCAGCTGCTGCTGCTGCTG